AGAAGAAGAGGAGGAGGAGGAGGAGGAGATTGGATTTATACCCCACCCTTCACTACCCAAGGCTTACAAACTCCTTTCCCTTCCCCTTCCCACAACAGACACCCTGTGAGGCAGGTGGGGCTGAGAGAACTCTTGACAGGAACTGCTCTTTTTCAAGAACAGCTGTGCCAGAACTATGGCTTGCCCAAGGTCACACCAGGAGCTGCATGGGGAGGAGTGGGGAATCAAACCCGGTTCTCCCAGATTAGAGTTCGTGCACTTAACCACTACACCAAAACTACAGAAGTGTAAGGAAATAAAACAGAGGACTTGTTGAAACACTTGTGGTACACACATTCAGGGCCTACATAACAGCATAATAATTAAATGAGTGATCTATCTATAACAGCTGCTATAAACCAGCAGATATTTTATTTTTTTAACTTAACGATGATCAGTTCCTTCATCCTTTTCCCACACCTGGATGTTTAGCCTCCAGAAACTGAGCCAAATGTTGTAGTGTCAGGGCTTTCCCTCACGCTCAACTTACTCCTGATTTTCTTGGCAGTTGATTCACAGGCATTGGAATTGGTCTGGGCATGATTTTTCCTCACATCTGCCCTCCCTCTGCATTTTCACAGTTTATGAAGTCAGTTTATTTTCTTCCACATGTGCCTTAAGTAACCATGATTTTCAAGGGAGGGTGTTGTTGTCATTGGTGGCATCACAAGCACACACACACACACCCTTTATTTTTTGTGCATGCTTATATCACTACATTGATAGGCTGATTTTTTAAATGGCCCTAAAATATTGATATATCATATACCACTTTAATGATAGGTTTAGCAGATTCTCTGAATTCCCACTTTTTTAAAAAAAGAAGTAAATCTCTAGTCCTTAAGCTCAAGGAGATATAAGAAAGAAGGCATATCTCCAGGAGGAAAAGAGCTAGAGACTTACCCTTTTTAAAATGAATGCTGGGTGTTCAGAGAATCTGCCAAACCTGTCAATACAAAATTATATTGATAGATTGATATCTGCATGCGTTTTTAAAAAACAAAATTAACAAATGAAACCACTCATCTTCGTGGGGGGGGGGGAGTGGTTTGACATGGACAATAGTCCAGTCATTGAAAAGTGGGCTGGAAGTTGACGGGAGTGAGCAGGACGAAGAAAACCAACAGAAACATTACACATGAAGAAAAAAGAGAACTCCAAATTGTCTTCCAGAAAAAAGATTGGGGTAAAACTGGCTGCAAAAAAATTAGCATAAAACGGGGGGGGGGGGAGCAAAAACTGAAGGCTCAAAAATGCGTGCAGAAATCAGGATCAACCTAAGCAATATCGGGCCATAACCAACTTTGATACCAACTTTGAATGACAGTAGTCTTCAGCACTAGATTATTAACCCATCTGGCATTTGTTATCCACTGTCCTCTTCCACAACGATTCTGACTAGCCAGTTATTAGCACACTTAATTTTAAACCTGTTCATTTCTTATCTATAACTTTGGCATTTATCCTTGCTTAATTTAATTTCTGCTAATAGATTGCCTTTAAGCATTCAGACAGCATTACCCCTCAAATAGTTGTCTTCCCTATATTGCACCACTCACAGGCTTAGCAATTCTGCAGCCTCAGCCACTGATTATCCATAGTATGAAAGATTCCGCAGGAACCAAAAGTCATCACATCTCCCCCCCCCTTCTCCCAGAACACACTGCTGACTCTCTCCACACTTCCCATCCAAGCACAATATGCACAATCCAGCATGCTGCAAACAGAGAAGTCACATGCTGCATAGTGAAGGTGGTTCAAGCCAATAAGCCAAGTCAGTGATTACAACAGGAAGGCAAGCAAGCAAAGTCAACTCCTGTCCGCTTAAATCCAGCCAGTCATTCCATGTGTCTCCATATCAGGGAGAGGTCCCTGCTTCTTTGTCATTCTCCTGCACATGAAATCTGCACCTAGACATAAGTATGAGCTCTGCTTTCCATTTTTGAAGGGATGGATTATGTGCAAAAGAGCCTACGCGATTGGCCGTGTACACTCATGTGCCTCTGTGCATGCAGTATGCAGGGGTCAAGGCAGAACCTGTTGGGAGAATTCCAGCTCTACACTACAACATATATAGCTTTATGCAGAATGACTATCTATGTGGCACAGTGGAGTGCAATCCTAAACGGATTTATACTCTTCTAAATCCATTAAAGTCAATGAGCATAGGAGGTTGTGATTCTGCTTAGGATTGCATTGTTCGTCTTCCTTAGAGAAAGGTCAGGTCTTCACCATCACCGTCTACTTTAACTGGCCACTTAGTCGTAGCAGCCAAGACTGTAGAATTTAGACCAGTAGTGCTCAGTCCGCAGCTCACAGAGTGCCATATATGCAGTTGCCATTAACCAAAATCCCGAGTCACTGAATATCACTGCTTCACATTTTTTCTTGCCCCAATGCAGTGCAAGGAAGCATCACAATAATAATAAAAACAATGCAGGGGACATCTTTCATAATACTTTCCATCTCCTTTTTGAGTCTGTTAAGAACTTCTATTCTCACAGTTATACTCCAAAAAGTCTAATCTCTTATATTTAGATTGTGCCCTATAGGCAGGATACATCCTCCCTCTGTGTACAGCACCTAGCACATTTAAGGGACCAGATTAGGCTTCCCAAGTCCCCCTGGGGGGCGGGGAAATCCCCGCCACAGAGGCCCGTTCCCCACCGCTGCCGGATTGGGCCCCGGGGGGAACTCCTCTCCGACGTGCGCGTCACCCGGAAGTGACGCGACCACGCTGGGGGCGGGTCCACAGCCATCCGAGGGAAAACTCTATGGTTTTCCCTCATACGGCCGTGGCCCCACCCCCAGCGTGCCTGGCGTTGTCACGTCACTTCCGGGTGACGTGCATGCGGCACGCGAACCAGATGCCGGCCGGGAGCCCCCCGCTCCCGGCGAAGATCGACTTGGCAACCCTAGACCAGATAGTAATCATCAGCCCAGAGATATCAGTTGCATGTTTAAGACCACCTTCTAATCTGATGTTGATTCATTAATAGTTACTTACTGATTTCCTTTTTTAACAAAATACATTTGGTATTTAATTAATGATGAGCACCTCTAGTCCACCTTTCTGAGGGTATCTTAGGAAAATATCATGATGGACTAGGTCAAAAACTAACTTTCAGGATTAAGCCCAGCTGATTCCCCAGCCTACACTACACTGCCAGTTGCCTAGATCAATTTTGTAGGTTATATTAAGAATAAATCAGTGTTGTCTGCAGTTAAGATCGTGCCCACCTCTTTTCAAAGCCCAACCCCGATGGGTTGGATCCTCAGATCCTCTGGAGGAAGAATACACATGCAGGCTCAAACCCCACGTTTTCCTCTGTGGAAGGAAATGTGTGGCATTCTATTTGAGGTTCACCACTGTGCCTGCTGGGGGGAGGTAAGTTGTAAAACGCGCAGGAGTAGCTCTCCCCAATCCCAGCAGGGGGGGCAGCCTGGCTCCCAGGGTCTTCTTGTGAAGTGAAACTATCATGCCAGGCGTGTCGTTCAGGGGACACTCTAGCATTTGGGTAAAAACTCTATGTCCACCATAGGGTTTTTACCCAAATGCTAGACCGTCCCCTGAACAATGTGCCCAGCATGATGATATCACCTCTGGGTGCCGGGCACGTTGGGTGCAATGGGGCTCTTTGGGGGCAGGGCTCCTCCACCGGCCAGCTGGCTAGCAGCAGATTGAGGGTCCCGAAAGTGGGGAAAACCCCACCCCCATCAGGGGGGCGGCAACCCTATTTGCAAGTTGCCAGTTTTGTCAGGTCCTCTTTAGATGCTGCACGGAGATGTGTGTTGTGCTGCCCCTTTTGTGACTGGCAAGATGTCCCTTTTGCGATTGGCAAGCTGCTTCTGGAAGGGTGATCTGGATTGGAGAAATGTCTCATGGGAAGAAGGAGCTTCAGCTTCCCTTCTCCAAATAGTGCCCCACTACCATCTCCCTGTTACTGGTAGTCCTCTTGAAGTGCAACTTCTGGTTTCCAAAGAGGCATTGGGCTGATGTTCTACACGTCTGTGTGTACCGTGTAGCTGGACCCTCCATTTCTCTAAAACTTCAGCCTGAGTAGAATATCATTCTCTGGATCGTAATTTTTCCCGTTTGTCCCCTTTCCTGTTTATAGAAACAATTAGGAACCATGAATATTCCCCTTATATTTTCTTTTTCTGTCATGCCAGATGTACTTAAGATTTCTCCTGCCAGCTAGCCGTCATCTAAATAATTCACTCCTTGCCCCAGTAGATAACCGAAGTATTTTGAAAGTTCCGCCATGAAAAACGGCAGCCACTGAGTGAGAAACTGTGTTCCCCAGACTGGATTTATATTTTGTCTAAACTGGATTTTCAGACAGATTAAATTGGGATACATCTTGCATAGGAAAACAGGGAGGCAAGATGACCGCAGGGGGGGGGGGAATGTTGAAAAGTGGTAAGGCTAGTACCTACCGGCACAATCCCACAGGTAGTTCTTCTGCGTGAACTGCTTGGAAAGTAAAAGGAGCTGTATGGGACCCCCGCTGCGCTCTTGAGCATCTTTCATTCTTGTCAGTGGGACTGGTGCAGGGAAACGCTTTGCAAGACCCTGCCCTAGGCCAACAGGAACGGAGGACGATTCTAAATATTGGGGGGGGGTGTTTCCTTGTCATGCAACATTGACATCTTTCATTCCATCAACGCCGCTGCTGCCCCCACAACATTTGTTACAAACTGACTTTGACCAGGAAGCGTTTTCGTGCTCTCATAGCATTTTTCATCTGTGTATTTTTGTTTCCTTCGAGCTAGAAATTTGGTAATAAGCTGCACGGAATTCGAGAAGTACGTTTCCCGCAAAGATCCCTCGTAACGCCTTCCTTCTCCTCAGAGGACGGCTCGAAATGCTTATTGGATGTGTCGTTCTGTTTTTCCTGTATGAATCAAAGACACTTTCCTTTCTGTCTTTTTTCTTTTGTCTCTCTGTCTCCCAACAGGTCATGGGTTATAGGTGCAATAGCTCTGCTCTGCCTATTAGGACTGACCTGGGCGTTTGGACTTATGTATATTAATGAAAGCACAGTCATCATGGCGTACCTCTTCACCATTTTCAATTCTCTGCAGGGAATGTTTATATTCATTTTCCATTGCGTCCTCCAGAAAAAGGTAAGGCCAATTATTCCGTGGTGAACAGAAGCGAGATGGGTAGTTTTTGTCGCTTAGCAACTGAATGTTACTCACGGTGCCTAGCATTTTAACTTGTCAGTTTGTCTGTGGGCCAGTTCCCGCAACCACACCGGCACGTCAGTGTGTCTGGACCAATGGGGAGCGTGAGTGGGTATCGCTAGGCACGAGTGTCCACTGAAGGTTTAGGGGGTGTCTGGATCAGTGGGGCACGTGAGTGAATGTTGTTAGATGCAGAGTCGTGTTAGATGCAGATGATATATGACAGCTAGAGATGTTTGTGCCATTTTCCCCGTTTTGAATTTCTCTCTGGGTTTCGGGTGTTCCAAATTGTCATGTCTCCCATTTGTGGGAATAGTTGTGCCGATGCGTTCGCAATCTGTTATTTTTCTTCCATTTCCGATATCTAAGGTATGTACAGACCGTTGCACATGTATTGTTTTCCCTCTGTGTTCATTTCTTCCTGCTCATTCACGCCTCGGTAACCTGGATAGGAGAAAGAAGAGAGAGAGAGAGCAGAAGGAACGGGAAGCCCCAGGAAATGGCACACGCGCCAGGCCCAGAATGAACTTCAGAAATTCTTGATGTTGAATTGGAAGGAAGGCCAAGTGGGATACAAAACAGAGAGTGCCCACGCACACACAAAAAGAACTGGAAATGAGGAATGCTGGCTCGCCTCTAGTTAGCGCCGCCAAAAAAAAAACCCAACATACACAGGCAACCTGTTTTTTTGGCTCTGCCCTGTTGCCAGATTTTTTTCCCCCCTGTGAAACCAGAATTTTGAGCTGATTACCATCCTTGGGCTTCTTTTTAATGGATTCTCACTCCACCTTGGCTTCTTAACCACATCATTCCCCCCTCCCCTCCCTTACACACAACACCATTTGCCTGTTATTTCTCTCCCGCGTGATGGGAGAGGTGTTAAAAAAAATTCTCATGCTTTTTCAGTGGTGTGATAAAACACGGTAAACAAAGCAAAACCGGGAGAGCGCTGACTGCCAAATTTGGCATTTTATGTCAGGGAGGAGAAAAACAGATGCCGTTCAGCCAAGCTGGAGCAGCAACCCAGTACAGAAAAGCCCCTTGTTAGTGGAGATCTGTTGTTGTTTTAATTAAAAATCTGCAGCATCCCTGTCGCTTAGTGCGCATGCATACAACCCATGCACGTCTACTGTTTACACATTTATTTATTTTTCATATGTATGGTGCGCCCTCCCTGCAGGTGGGCTCGGGAGAGGTAACGACATGCCAAATACAATAAAGACAGTTAAAAATTGAAACACGGTAGTAAACGTTGAAATGGTGGTCACAGCTCGAAACAGAAGTTGGCTGGCTGCGAGAGGTTCCCTGGCTTGTGGGTGATGGATGATAATAGGCCAACTGTTATCGGATGGGAGACAGAAACCTCGAGGGGAAGCCATACATGGACGCCCACTGCCTCAGCCAAATTCCTGGCGGAACAGCTTCGTCTGGCAGGTCCTGTGGAATTGAAGGAGATCCCGCAGGGCCCTGATCTCAATAGGGAGCACGGTCCACCAGGCAGGGACCAGGGCAGAAAAAGCCCTGGCCCCGGTTGACGCAAGACCGACATCCTTCGGGCCAGGGACCACCAGGAGATGCTGATCCATAGAGCCAGGGCTATTTTGGGGGCAGGAACGCACAGGAACGGAGTTCCGGCTGGCTCACATGTTGGCCACGCCCAGCAGAAACTCATTAGCATAATAGGCCACACCCAACAGCAGAAACTCATTAGGATTGGCTACATTAGGGGGGGTGTGGCCTAACATGCAAAGGAGTTCCTGCTACAAAAAAGCCCTGGGTTTTGACAACAAACAAGGTAAACAGAATAAGGAGCAAAAGGTGGGTGTGGCTGGATGACCACACTTCTGGTAACATGGGGGTGTGGCCTAAAAGGCCAATGAGCTGTGCTGCCAGGGGGTGTGGCCTAATATGCTAATGAGTTTCTGCTGTTGGGTGGGGCCTATTATGCTAATGAGTTCCTGCTGGGCTTTATCTACCAAAAAAAGCCCTGCATAGAGCGTAATGCTCTTCGAGGCATATACAGGAAGGGGCGGTCCCTCAAATACTTAGAATTACTAAGGAGTCAGGTGGTAGGTCTCATCCCCAGCAGACCGATTCCCATCTCGCTGCATGAGGGTCTGCCAAATACATGGGGGCCCTCCCTCTTCTAGCTGCTCGACCTCTGCAGAAGCTCCACCGCGTTGAGGAAGGTGGTCCCAACTTGGACGCAGCAGCTGTAGGCCTCTCTCACCCAGCTTCCCTGTGTAGCTCCTTCACTGTGCTCTGGACGGAACGCAAGCACAGGATCGGCCCCACCCTCTTTGCTAGCACAGGTACAAATCTCCAGGGATTACATCTGACCTCCAGATTACAGGGATCAGTTTACCTGGAGGACAAGGCTGCTATGGTGGGTGGACTCTATGGCATGATGCCCCACTGGAGTTACTCCCCCTACCCAAATCCTGCCATCCCCAGACTCTCAGAGCTGGCAACCCTAAGCAGAAGACACCTTTCTTGCACACACGCAGAGATGTGCATTAACATTAATGGCCCGTCCAGAACACAGGTGGCCATTGGAAACACTTGGACCGATTTCCCACAAGCGCTGCTCCACGCTCACTCTTCCCTTTTGCCCCGATGGTACATGTCAATTTCACACAAGCCGCTGCGTGGCCGTATTTTGCCCCCCCAGCTTCGTGTGATTTCCCCCGCATCTACTCAATCCTGTTTTTTGAGAATTGAGTAGATGCAGGGAAAATCGCACAAAGCTCTAGGGCAAAATGCGGCCGCGCAGCAGCTTGTGTGAAATTGACACGTACCATCGGGGCAAAAGGGAAGAGCGAGAGTGGAACAGTGCTTGTGGGAAATCGGCCTTGGCTTGGAACGACTGCTTTTTAATTTTCTTTATTTAAAATAACTATATTCCACCTTTCCGTTTTTCTCTCCAACCGCAGCACCTCAGGGACATCATGCGAAGGCCTTCTCAGTAGGCACCAAATAATGAGAACATATTATGGGACACTTACAAATGCTTTTCAGTTCTGTCTTTAACCAGAAGAGCACTTTCTTTGCATTTCAGTCAGAGCACATCAGGATGTTCCTAAATGAATGAATACCCAAAACAGCAGGCAGAGAAGAGCCTTTCACAATGTATGCTAGTGGGGAACGGGATTTTGATTGTGTTGGTTTTAATTGGGTGTTTCAGTACGTCAGATTTCTGTTTGGGTTTTTTTTATCTGTTTGCTTGTGTTGTAAACTGCTTTGAGCAGCGGGGAAAAACCGGACAAGGTTGCAATAAGTAAATGTGGATTAGTGGGAGAAGAACGGTGTTACCGTTAAACACGAAAGCCTGTTGTTTGATCTGTAAAATGTGAGGGGGGGGGGTACACACTCCAAAACGGGAGGTGAAAGGTTCGACCCATACCTAAGGAGTAGACTACGGTTGCCAACCTTCAGGAGGGGCTGGTGAGCTCCCAGAATTACAACCTATCTCCCGACTCCATAAATTGCTTGCTTATTTATTTAATTATTTAATACATTTATCCCACTTCTCCTGGAGAAAATAGCCCCCTTGGAAGGTGGACTGCATGGCTTTATCCCCTACCAAGGTCCCCTCCCGAAACCCCAGTCTCGCAGGCTCCACCCTCAAATCTCCGAGTATTTTTGAACCTGAGTTCTCCACCACAGAGTAGACGCATGGTGTCTGAACAGATAGGGGCCTTCATAAGTCTACTACTCCCCTGCTTTGTAGGAGTTTTGAATTCCTGCAGTAAACGGAGGTGGATTGACTTGAGAATGCAGCCCTCTGCGGAGTTACGTACTTCTCTCTAAGCCCGTTGACTTCTGTGGGCTCAAAAGGGTGTTACTCTGTTTAGGATTGAACTGTTTTAACGTCTTAAAGGAAGTCGGGTGCTGAAATGGGCATGCACACAAAAGCTTATACCCCAAATTAAACTTTGTTGGTCTTAAAGGTGCCACTGGACTCAGACTTTGTTCAGGTGCTCACAACAGTGGTTGGCAGGAAGGGTCACTTTTTTTCTTGTGCCCTGGAAGGTCGGGGCGAAACCAGCGGGAGGCAGATTTGGGTACAGTTTTGTTAAAATTTGCCCAAGTGCATGTCTGTGGTGGGGGGAGAGCAGTGACCAATGCGATAGCTCACCTTCCTTTGCAGCTTTTCCAGAGGAGGTCACATGTGGAAGCTATACGATTATCGCAGGGCTCTTTTTGTAGCAGGAACCCCTTGGCATGTTAGGCGACACACCCCTAATGTAGCCAGTCCTCCAAGAGATTACAGTAGCCCCTGTAAGAAGAGCTCTGTAAGCTCTTGGAGGATTGGCTACATTAGGGGTGTGTCGCCTAACATGCAAAGGAGTTCCCGCTACAAAAAGAGCCCATACAGTTGGAATGTTGTGTGCTAACTGGGACCCTGGGAAAGAAACTCATTTTTCAAGATGTAGGAAGCAGGCAGTCCTTGGGAGGAAGGAGTAGGTCGATTCATAAGAGGGTTAATCCCCTTTACCCACTTCTCTGTTCTGCATTACGTACTCAGTTGCTTATGTTCTGTCTGTCCTTATTTATTTAAAACATTTTTATGCCACCTCCTAACAATGTTCCCAATATGTCGTTAAGAATTAACAGCTAAATTCAAATATAACCATTATCTAGAATGTGAAAGTAAAAGAAATGCTGGAGTCAGCGTTTAGACTGTCCCTGTCAGAGGAGGAGCCTCGAGTCGAAATCCGGAATCTGCCTTGAGACTCGCTGGGTGGCCTTGAGCCCAGGGTTGCCCTCTTCCAGGTGGCACCTGGAAATTCTGCTGTTATAATGGATCTCCAGATGACCAAGATCAGTCCCCCTGGAGAAAAGGGCTGCTTTGGAGAGTGGACTCTATGGCATTATACCACGCAGAGGTCCCTCCCCAAACCCCGCCCTCCTCTGCCCCCACCCACAAAATCTCCAGG